AAAATATATGTCAATTCTTACCTTTGACTCGTCCACATCGTACCTCCTGTTTATCACCTTCATAACACTCTTCACAGAAACATCTATGAACTCTCGAAGGCTTGAGAGTTCCTCAAAAACAGCCTTCCTAAATTCAGCTAACTTTCCATCAACCTAAAAATTAAATATATAATTAGTTGGTAATCTTATTCAAAGTGCTACAGTTCCACTACAATTTAACAAAGATTTGTGCAATACCAACATGGCTCAATATAGAATTATACCACAAATTAACTACAATGTATAACATACAATACTTATTATGGAATGAAGTTAAATTGTAGCAAAAAATATATTTATATTGTAGTTATTTATATTACCTGCTCAATCCCCTTTTCCAACTTCCTGAGCTTGCTAGTCACAGATTCAGTGTCCTCTTGACAATCCGTATCTTTGGGTTCAAATGTTGGAGAAGCAGCAATTAGAACCTGTGATGATTGAGCACCATGTGCATCTTCATACTGAATCTTGTCTGGCAGATTAAGCACTCCAATCTCTTCTCCAGATTCAGTGATGCTTGTGAACTGAATGATGGAAATAACAGTTAGTTCAAGTAAATAAAAAAATGTAGATTAATTGTAGTTATTATGAAGGTAAATGTAGCATCATACAAAAGTGAAAAAATATACCTTGAGCCACTCAGGCTTGATCATCTTCTCTTCAATTGCAGTTAACCAAATCTGGCCCTTTGTAGCTGACCATCTTAAAATGCGAGGTATAGATTCAGAACACCTCGTACCAAGCTCCGTACTGACGGACGAGCAACACTCATAAAGCCACACTTGCAAGGCTAATGAGCATCCCCGTATCAGATAAGAATGTACATGGGGATTAAGACGATGTCGGACAGATTCAATAACTTGCTTAAAGGATTTGATACCCCATGAGTATGACTCAAAATTACCAGACTCTATCATAAAGAACATAAACTTGTCTATGAAAGACACATGGTCTTTATCATAAGGACAAACAAAAAATTCCAACAGATAAAGAATGCACAACCTCACTACATCCTCATCGTTTGCCCAAGCTTTATTTGTGACTACATTTTTCAAATGCCACTTTTCAACCCTTTGTTTGTTCGAAAAATAGGTAGTCATTAAATGGCTAACATAAGTGGAAGTGTAACCATAGTCTGAAAACTTATTCACACAATTTAGACCAGTAATCAACCCAAATTCTCTCAAGGAAAAATTCAAGTTTTCACCCTTCAATAGTACTGAAAAATATGAGTCAGTAAACTTTGACAATTCATACTTCATTAGAAGATCAATTGCTTGGTTTTGCATACTGATTGTGGGGAGATCAAATAAGTAACCAAAACAAGTTTTTTGGAAAAGCTTTAAAGCATTTGGAGAGAGTAAAGATTTTATCTGGCTAGGTATGCTCGGATCACACAAACTGTGGAATCTAAGCACACCATAATCAATATTTTGTGGTGCAAAGTAATGGCCATTCTGCAGAAAATAAAAAATTATTGAGCATTAGTAGTTAGCATAAAAAGAAGCAGTAATCTACATATAACTACATAATAACTACAAAATATAACTAAAAGAAGAACAACCTACCCACACCTATAACTACAAAACAATACAGGACATCTACACATGTAAACATTATCTCAAAACAATAAGGAAGAAAAGGGTAACCACAACTCTATAACTACAAAAATATAACAGTTAGTTCAAGTAACTCACAAAATGTAGATTAATTGTAGTTAGTATGAAGGTAAATGTAGCAGCATACAAAAGTGAAAAATATACCTTATCTACAATTTATCCAGCAGACTACAAAATGACTACATTTATGCACTGTCTAAAAATTACTATTACAATTAACCTACAAAATTGAGACAAACAATCTACAAAATTTGGACAATTCCACATTTTACCAAAAAGCACTTGAACAACAGATTTTTACAACCAAAATCACACTAAAAAACTGTAAAGAAAAATAATTAGTGTTTACTTTTACCAAAATCTTTTTGTGAACCAATTTTGGTACTTTTTTGGAGGTTTTCTTCTTTTTCGGTTTTGATGAAGAAGGAAAGACCTTGGGTTTTTTCACAGATGGAATTTTAGGGGAATGTTCAACAAAATCATCATCTACACACAACTCTTTGCCCTTTTGTTTGAGTTGTTTCTCGACTGGTTTATCACCTCCACCAGCATCAACATCGTGCAAATGTTTGGTTCTCATCGCCGCATGGATTTGTCTAGGA